ACGCGGACCAGACCGGCGGACGGCGCTGTGCTCAGAACTCGCAAGGTTCCGCGTAAGGTTTAGGGTTTCGCGTTTAGGGTTTAGGGTTTAGGGTTTAGGGTTTCGGGTTTAGGGTTTAGGGTTTAGGGTAAAAGCCAGGACCCAGAGCAGGCTCTTGCTCCCTTTTTGTCGGGTTCAGGTCTCACTTATAAGCCCCCTTTAAACCACAACAAAGGCAGCCTGTTTATTCCTGGGCTACTCTTGGGCCTAGAACCCGAAAAGCAAGAAGCCCCCAACATTTGCCTTAGCACCCCAAAAGCCCTCACCCTAAGCACCCCGCTCCCTAAACCCGAAGCACCCCTAAACCGTAAACACCCCTAACCATCCTAAACTTGGAAGCTCTCTTGACCTAGTACATCTATTTAGTCGCCTCCCACAAACTCTTATAATACTCTCCATAACCCAATTTACTGACCCTAAACCCGAACCCCTAAACCCTTACAACCCTAAACCCTATAAACCTCATGAACCCTAAACCCTATAAGCCCTAAACCCTATAGACCGTAAACTCTCAACTCTACTTACCAAGTGAAAAGGGCTTCGGAGAACCCTTTTCTGAAAAGAACAGCCACAAAGACCGAACAACCCCTCGAGGCTTCCACCAGCATGTTAGGGGTTTCAGGGTTTAGGGTTTAGGGTTTAGGGTTTTGGGTTTAGGGTTTTGGGTTTTGGGTTTTGGGTTTAGGGTTGCACGAGGCCGCGCCACCGACCAACTCAGCCAACACGGCCGAGAAAGGCGCGGCGGCGGGGGGTGGGAGGGACTCTTAAGGCCGCAAGGCCCTAAACCTCCAAGGGAGGGGTTGGGGGGGATCTACCCCAAACCCAGAAACCCTTCGCCCTAAACCCTGAACCCTATACCCTAAACCCTCAACCCTCAACCCTAAACCCTAAACCCCAAACCCTAAACCCTAAACCCTAAACCCGAATAGGGATTTCACACTTTTTCAGGTGGGAGGTTCGGTTTGTGGCTTTGAGCCTGCAGGGCCCATTGCAGGTCACAGACGCGTTGGCACCCCCTTCAGCCAATCAAACCTACAACATTGGGGGGGTTTAGGGTTTAGGGTTTAGGGTTTAGGGTTTAGGGTTTAGGGTTTAGGGTTTAGGGTTTAGGGTTTAGGGGGGTTTAGGGGGGTTTAGGGTTTAGGGTTCAGAAGATGGGGGGTTTAGAGTTTAGGGTTTTCGGGTTTTAGGGTTGTACCCTTTTGGGGGGGGATCCTTTAGGGGGGGGATCGTAAAATTGAAGAGTATACCTTTTTGAGGTCCCCCTACATTGTGGGATTTCCTGTGTTCTCCTTATAGGGATTGCAGGGAAATATTTTTTGTGCAAGCCACCCTTGACATCGCATCCTGGCTGAAGGGTTTAAAGTCCATGTACCCAAATATGGGATAGTCGTGGTATCGGAGTGTCGTATTATAGGGGTTACGGTCCATATACCCTATGAGGACCCCCTGGCCCCTTTTCCCCTCCTCTGCCCTTTAGGTTCTAGATCTGGAGCATTCCCCCAGCCCGCACACACACAAACGAAAACGAAGCAAAATAGCAGCAAACCCTAAACCCTAAACCCTAAACCCTAAACCCTAAACCCTAAACCCTAAACCCCACACCCTAAACCCTAAACCCTAAACCCTAAACCCTACAGCCACCCCAAAGCACTAGCAATGAAGCTCTACCCACCTCATAGCCGAAGAAGCCGAAACCTTCAAGAAGCCCTCAAAAAGCCACCCTGAACCCTGAACCCTCAACCCTAAACCCTAAACCCTAACACCTAGAAGCCCTAACCCCTGGAAGCCCCTGCACCCCTAAAAGCGCTCGAAGGAAGCCCCAAACCCTAGAAGCCCGAAACCCCCAAAACCCTAGAAGCCCCAGAAATTCTAGAAACCCCAAACCCTAAACCCTAAACCCTAAACCCTAGACCCTAAACCCTAGAAACCCCCGAAATCCTGGAAACGCTAGAAGCCCTAAACCCTAAACCCCAAACCCTGGAAACCCTAAATCCTAGGAAGCCCTAAACTAGTGAGCTGCTCCGGTCACGACCAGGTCGTGCGAAGGGGCCCAAGCTTCTCGAGGCTTTTTGTTTTACTGTTTTTTTGGTGGGTTTGGGGGGGGGGGGGGGGGGGGTTGGGGGGGGGATAGAGTTCAGGGTTACGGTGGTTCATGGGTGTAGGTATCTAGGGAACCCTCAGGCTTACACATTTTTCCCTTGCACCCCTTTAACCCTAAACCCCAAACCCCGAACCCTAAACCCTATACCCTATACCCTAAACCCTATACCCTAAACCCTAAACCCCAAACCCTAAACGCTGGGGCTGCCTAGCACTTTCCGGCCAGCGGGCTGGACCCAAATCCCAAGACCCACAACTCCATCCAACCAACCCACGGCCGGGGTTTAGATTTTTTAGGCTTTATGGTACCTTAAGGGTATGCAAGCCCTAAACCCCAAACCCTAAACCCTAAACCCTAAACCCTAAACCCTAAACCCTAAACCCTAAACCCTAAACCCTAAACCCTAAACCCTAAACCCTTTCCCCTAAGCCCTTAACCCTTAACCCTTAAACCCTATAAGAGCCAAACTCGGAGAGTCGAACTGCGCTACGCCTGGAAAGTTCATTCCAGTTTGTTTTCATGAGAGCCAAGGCTACGAGAGGCTGGGGTTTAGGGTTTAGGGTTTAGGGTTTAGGGTTTAGGGTTTAGGGTTTAGGGTTTAGGGTTTAGGGTTTAGGGTTTAGGGTTTAGGGTTTAGGGTTGCAAGGGTTTTGTAGTACTTGTCGTATACTGTGGATACTCAGGGTACCTATCAGCCCAAACCTAAACCCCAAACCCCAAACCGGAAAGCCGTAGGCCAGCGAGGGCGAGCTTTCCACTTCGGACTCGGCAAACGAGGCACACGATGGGAAGAAGTTACCCTGAGCCCCCAAAACACTGGGTTTGGGGTTTAGGGTTTAGGGTCTATGTACTTGGGCACAAAAGTCCCCGAATAGGAGGTACTTTAAGGCCCAAGTATTCCGCATTGAGGCACATGGACCCTTAGGCTATAGGGACACCCTGTAGCCCTCAACCCTCAACTCCAAACCGAAACCCCGTCATGCAATACGCCCTTAATATATGTGCCGGCTGTAGGCTCGGGTTTAGGGTTTAGGGTTTAGGATTTAGGGTTTAGGGTTTAGGGGTTAGTGTTGATGAACAGCTCCCTCGCCATGGCAGGACGTTGACATCGCTCTGGTGTGACCGAGCTCGGAGAGGCTTGACTGCCAACGCCAGAATTCCGAACAAAGAGGTTTAGGGTTTAGGGTTAAGGGTTTAGGGTTTAGGGTTTAGGCTTGAATTGATTGACTCTTGTTGTAGGGTCTTTGGGCTGTCTTAAGCCTAAGGGCTAAAACTTAAGTCCATTCTAGGACGCCCAGTAGTGCCCTTATTCCCTTTTTTGGGGGGTTGGGTTCCCTTAGAGTTCCCTTTAAGCCAAAAAAAGGTACCCTTTTTAATCCTGGGTTACTGAGCATCCTTGCATTGTTGAAAAGGTCGGAAGTCTGGAGAGATGAAGTTTGCCCCGCTTAGGGCTTTCCTGGCACTTCAGCCAATGTTGACAGCTTGTCCACGCTTTCTACAGCACAGTACTTCTGGAAACCTAAACCCTAAACCCTAAACCCTAAACCCCAAACCCTAAACCCCAAACCCTAAACCCTAAACCCTAAACCCTAAACCCTAAACCCTAAACCCGAATCATAGACAGGACTGCTGCCTCCGGTACGGCCACTCGCACCGTGGACATGCGTCTGGGTTCTGGAAAAGATGGGAAAGCTGCGCCCCCCCCCCCCCCCCCCCACTTCGAAAGAATTCGGGAGTAGAGCGATTCAGACACGCAGGACAGCATGATGACAAGATCCATGGCCACATTTGCTGTTGACCACAGGATCATGCACCCCCTACCGGGAAAACCTGCAACGCCCGGCCCCATTTTTGCTCGAAGAGTCAGTATATAGGACTCAGGATCAGCTTCCTGACCTCGTGAGCAGCTGTACTCGAGTTACCCTAGCTGAAGTGATGGTGCCCCGGGCTCTACTCCTCGCTCTCCTGCTGCCGATTTGCTCCGCCATCACCTGGGTCACCTGAGATGTGTTTGGTAGGTTTCTGTTTTCTTCCTTCCTTTGTCCAGATGAGTTTTCTCGATCTCTTGCGAGTGTTGTTCTGGCCCAGGTAAAGAGCGCTGCTGGTGCAAGCTGCGATCAGGCCTGTGCTGCCCGCGACGGATGCAACGATGAGGCGTGGCCGAGCTCTGAGGAGGAGTTCCACGACGCTGCCAGGCTTGCAGGCGCGATCTGAACGTACAGTGCCCATGTGAAGGTGTCGTACACGCATGTATCAACCAGTTCTTTCTTGCAAGACTATGGTACCAGACATCAGCCAGCAAAAGGGCTCGGTACAAGCAGCAAGTGTTGCAGGTCAAGTCTGCGAGAGCACGCAGAGTGGTGGCGCAAAGTACGACCCCAGCACTGACGGCCACCACTGCGGCTGGCAGGGGCCCGATAACACGGAGGGGGAGAGCCGATGTTCCCAATCGGGCGACTCCGGCACATACCGCTTCTGCCCTTGCAATGCAGACAAGGAGCTGTAGATTATGACCGGCTGGCTCCCCAGCGCCAGAAGCCGTTGGGGGAGATGTTCCGAAATTTATTGCAAGCCGCAGTGCCCGCCTAACCCTGCACGGGTAAGTAGCTAGGTTTCGGGCTTTCAAAGGAAGAGAGCCCGTGAAAAGACCGCCCTTCGGCGCACATCGACTCCAGACGATGGGAAAAAGACCGGCTGCTGCATCCGAGTGTACTGCTGTAGCTACTTCACATCGGCACGCGGACGAGTTGCCAGCAAGCGGGTGATTGTCCTTGCTCGCAGGGTCTAGGACTCAGGATCCAACCCCCTGACCTTGTGCGCTGTGAGGAGCTGCACACTAGTTGCCCTAGCTGAAGTGATGGTGCCCCGGGCTCTGCTCCTCGCTCTCCTGCTGCCGATCTGCTCCGCCATCACCTGGGTTATTGAGATGTGTTTGGCAGGTTTCTGTGTTTTTTTTCTCCTTCCTCTGTCTAAATGCTTTTCGTCGATTTCTTGCGAGTGCTGTTCTGGCTCAGGTAAAGAGCGCCGCTGGTGCAAGCTGCGATCAGGCCTGTGCTGCCCGCGATGGATGCAACGATGAGGCGTGGCCGACTTCTGAGGAGGAGTTCTACGATGCTGCCAAGCTTGCAGGCGAGATCTAAAAGCACAGAGTGCCGTGCGACACGTGTTCTGCTTGCATGCGTTGAGGTGTTTTTACAGCATGCAGGACTAGTGCCAAGCCGCATATGTTGCAGGTCAAGTCTGCGAGGGCACGCAGACTGGAGGAGCAAAGTACGACCCCAGCACTGATGGCCGCTACTGCGGGTGGTCAGGGCCCGACAGCATGAACGGGGAGAGCCGATGTTCCCAATCGGGCGACTCCGGCACATACCGCTTCTGCCCCTGCAATGCGGACAAGGAGCTGTAGACGAACTGCTCAGCGCGAGAAGCCGTTGGGGAGAGGTTCCGCAAATTCACTGCATGCCATGTCTCCTTTTCCTGTGTATGTCCGCTAGGGCTGCGCAGCTAAGCGAGGTACAGGTTCTCAAAGGAAGAGAGCCTGTGAATAGACCGCCCCTCGGCACACATCGACTCCAGACGATGGAAAAGCAGGTGCAGCCTCCGTAGCTTCTGTATTATACTTGTAGCCATTTCACATCTGCACGCAGCCGAATCGCCCACAACCGGGGGACCTTCTTGCTCAAAGGGTCTATATAGGACTCAGGATCAGCCTCTGACCTCGTGAGCAGCTGTACTCGAGTTGCCCTAGCTGAAGTGATGGTTCCCCGGCCTCTACTTCTCGCTCTCCTGCTGCCGATCTGCTCCGCCATCACCTGGGTCACAGAGATGTGTTTGGCAGGTTTCTGTGTTTTTTTCTCCTTCCTCTGTCTAAATGCTTTTCGTCGATTTCTTGCGAGTGCTGTTCTGGCTCAGGTAAAGAGCGCTGCTGGTGCAAGCTGCGATCAGGCCTGTGCTGCCCGCGACGGATGCAACGATGAGGCGTGGCCGAGCTCTGAGGAGGAGTTCCACGATGCAGCCAGGCTTGCAGGCGCCATCTGAACGCACATGTACAAGGTTGTACTTCAGCTTGTTTGCAAGACTATAGCGGCATTTGTGAGTCAGCAAACGAGCTCGGTACAAGCAGCAAGTGGTGCAGGTCAAGTCTGCGAGAGCACGCAGAGTGGTGGCGCAAAGTACGACCCCAGCACTGACGGCCACCACTGCGGCTGGCAGGGGCCCGAGGACATGAACGGGGAGAGCCGATGTTCCCAATCGGGTGACTCCGGCACATACCGCTTCTGCCCTTGCAACGCAGACAAGGAGCTGTAGGTAGACGGTGACGGACTGCCCAGCGCTGGAAGCCGTTGGGCAGAGGTTCCACAAATTCACTGCATGCTCTGATTGTTTCTGTGGAAATCCGTCCAGGGCTGCACAGGTAAGCTATATACTGGTTCTCAAAGGAAGAGAGCCGGTGAAAAGACCGCCCTTCGGCGCACATCGACTCCAGACGATGGGAAACAGACCGGCTGCGGCATCGAGTGTACTGGTATCTACTTCACATCGGCACGCAGCCAAGTCGCCAGCAAGCGGGTGATTGTCCTTGCTCGCAGGGTCTAGGACTCAGGATCCAACCCCCTGACCTTGTGCGCTGTGAGGAGCTGCACACTAGTTGCCCTAGCTGAAGTAATGGTGCCCCGGGCTCTGCTCCTCGCTCTCCTGCTGCCGATCTGCTCCGCCATCACCTGGGTTATTGAGATGTGTTTGGCAGGTTTCTGTGTTTTTTTTCTCCTTCCTCTGTCTAAATGCTTTTCGTCGATTTCTTGCGAGTGCTGTTCTGGCTCAGGTAAAGAGCGCCGCTGGTGCAAGCTGCGATCAGGCCTGTGCTGCCCGCGATGGATGCAACGATGAGGCGTAGCCGACTTCTGAGGAGGAGTTCTACGATGCTGCCAAGCTTGCAGGCGAGATCTAAAAGCACAGAGTGCCGTGCGACACGTGTTCTGCTTGCATGCGTTGAGGTGTTTTTACAGCATGCAGGACTAGTGCCAAGCCGCATATGTTGCAGGTCAAGTCTGCGAGGGCACGCAGACTGGAGGAGCAAAGTACGACCCCAGCACTGATGGCCGCTACTGCGGGTGGTCAGGGCCCGACAGCATGAACGGGGAGAGCCGATGTTCCCAATCGGGCGACTCCGGCACATACCGCTTCTGCCCCTGCAATGCGGACAAGGAGCTGTAGACGAACTGCTCAGCGCGAGAAGCCGTTGGGGAGAGGTTCCGCAAATTCACTGCATGCCATGCGTCCTTTTCTGCGCATGTCCGCCTAGGGCTGCGCAGCTAAGCGAGGTACAGGTTCTCAAAGGAAGAGAGCCTGTGAATAGACCGCCCTCCGGCACACATCGACTCCAGACGATGGAAAAGCAGGTGCAGCCTCCGAATCGGCTGTGTCACCGCTGCATCATAGACACTGCCGACACTGCTTGTGGATATGAACTATAGGGTTTATATTTCTTGTATCCCCAAACGGACACCCTGTATATACACTCACCAATATTAAAAAGGAACCTTATCTACACTCACCAAAAACAGAAATATCTACCCTACTTCATATGAAGTTCTGCTGGCATCCTTTGACATGCCGACTGAAATTGCTCAAAGGGGTCTGCCGCTAGCCAAGAAGCACCACGAGTGGTGCTTCAGCAGGGCTAGCAGGCGTGGTCTTAACAGGTCAGACTGTGAGTAGAGCCTGCATCCCTGGACCACCCTCACGATGGGTTTTAGGTTTAGGGTTTAGGATTTAGGGTTTAGGGGTTAGAGTTTAGGGTTTAGGATTTAGGGTTTAGGGTTTAGGGGTACAGCTTCACTCGGAAGCGCCTTTCACAGCCATGGTCCTGACTGCAAACGAGCCGGTCTCTGTCCGCTATGCCTCCGACTTCGTGTCTCTCGACCAGGCGCGCGGAGATCACACAATTCGGGGGTTCTCGAAGTTGGGCCACCTTGTTTTGGGGTGGGTGGGTTTAGGGTTTAGGGTTTAGGGTTTAGGGTTTAGGGTTTAGGGTTTAGGGTTTAGGGTTTAGGGTCTAGGGTTTAGGGTTTAGGGTTTAGGGTTTAGGGTTTAGGGTTTAGGGTTTAGGGTTCATGAGGATGCCGTACTATCATGAGGACCCTTGAAGGGACCCTAATTGAGAGAACTACCGACATTCTTCTACATTTTTCGAAGCCACAGGAGCCGAAAGATCTACCAACATCATGCCTGTAGAATCTGGATGTGCGCATAAATATGTCACCTGTATAAATGCGCATACTATATATATATATATATATATATATGGTACCCCCCCCCCCCCATGGACCTACCTTTTTTTTGAAACCTCGGCTTGACCGATGTTTCAAAAAAGGGTGGCTTCTCCAAAACATTGGTTTTACCAATGTTTTTGAACCCCTACCTTCAAAAAACATTGGTTTTACCGATGTTTTTTGAGCCCATGCTCACGAAACATCGCAAAAACCAATAAAAACCATAAAAACCATGATTGTCCAAACTATGGGCTTGGGTCTCCGAGTAGTTTGAAAAATCATGGTTTTTATGGTTTTTATTGGTTTTTGCGATGTTTCCTGAGCAGGGGCTCCAAAAACATTGGTTTTACCGATGTTTTTTGAAGGTGGCTTCTCCAAAACATTGGTTTTACCAATGTTTTTGAACCCCTACCTTCAAAAAACATTGGTTTTACCGATGTTTTTTGAGCCCATGCTCACGAAACATCGCAAAAACCAATTAAAACCATAAAAACCATGATTTTCCAAACTATGGGCTTGGGTCTCCGAGTAGTTTGAAAAATCATGGTTTTTATGGTTTTTATTGGTTTTTGCGATGCTTCCTGAGCAGGGGCTCCAAAAACATTGGTTTTACCGATGTTTTTTGAAGGTGGCCTCTCCAAAACATTGGTTTTACCAATGTTTTTGAACCCCTACCTTCAAAAAACATTGGTTTTACCGATGTTTTTTGAGCCCATGCTCACGAAACATCGCAAAAACCAATAAAAACCATAAAAACCATGATTTTCCAAACTATGGGCTTGGGTCTCCGAGTAGTTTGAAAAATCATGGTTTTTATGGTTTTTATTGGTTTTTGCGATGTTTCCTGAGCAGGGGCTCCAAAAACATTGGTTTTACCGATGTTTTTTAAAGGTGGCCTCTCCAAAACATTGGTGTTACCGATGTTTTTGAACCCCTACCTTCAAAAAAACATTGGTTTTACCGATGTTTTTTGAGCCCATGCTCACGAAACATCGCAAAAACCAATAAAAACCATAAAAACCATGATTTTCCAAACTATGGGCTTGGGTCTCCTAGTAGTTTGAAAAATCATGGTTTTTATCCTCTAACATCCTACTAAACTAGTATCGAATCCCAGTAACATGCCAAGAACTGATAGGAATCCTACTAAACTAGTATGAGCCTAATCCAATAGGAATCCTTTAAAATTAATGAGAATCCTATGCGAATCCCAGTAACATGCATAAGAATCCTGTTGAAATTGATAGGAACCTTATTAAATTGGTAGGAGCCTTAGGGCGTGATGTCTTAAGATCTGTTGCTAAGGTACAGGTTTAGTATAGATATTAGGTCTTGCTTATCGGGGGATGACTGTTTGAGATATCGTAGCTAAGGTAGTGTTTTTAGGACAGATGTCATGTCTTGCGTATTGGGGCGTGATTGATTGTAAGGAGGTTTTGGTACTCTCCCAACATTTTCGTAGAATTAATAGGATTAGTAGGAATCCGATTAAACTGAAGAGGAACCCTACTCAAATTAATAGGAACCAATCGGACTCCTATAAGAAATAGCGTGAACCTTTAGACAAACCGATTAAAATGAACATGAGCCTAAACCAACAGGAATCCCTTGAAAGTGAATGAGATCCCTTTAATATTAACACGAACCCCATTAACATGAATAAGAATCTGATTAAAATTGATAGGACTCTTATTACAGAAAATAGGGGCCTTATTAATAATTAGGAACCCTATGAAACTTTATTGGGATCCTATGAAAGTAAATAGGAATCCTCTATTGAATTATCGGGACCGGACAACAGTTAATAGGAAGCCTATTAAAATGAATAGGAACCTTAACAAGTTGGAAACAACCCGGGTTACAAGTCACAGGAATCCTATTAAAACGAGAAGGAATCTTTCTAAATCAATAGGAACCAATAGGCCTTAAAAACAATAGAATCCTTTAACAAGAACTGATAGGAATCCTACTAAACTAGTATGAGCCTAATCCAATAGGAATCCTTTAAAATTAATGAGAATCCTATGCGAATCCCAGTAACATGCATAAGAATCCTGTTGAAATTGATAGGAACCTTATTAAATTGGTAGGAGCCTTAGGGCGTGATGTCTTAAGATATGTTGCTAAGGTACAGGTTTAGTATAGATATTAGGTCTTGCTTATCGGGGGATGACTGTTTGAGATATCGTAGCTAAGGTAGTGTTTTTAGGACAGATGTCATGTCTTGCGTATTGGGGCGTGATTGATTATAAGGAGGTTTTGGTACTCCCTCGAGATTTTGCAGGATTCGAGTTTGTTGCTTGGTACTACCTCGAGAAATGGTGGCTGGGAGAGAGCCTCAGATCACGAAAATCATGGAAAACATTGGTTTTACCCATGTTTTTGAAGGATGGAGCCCGAAAACATCGGCAAAACCAATGTTATCCATAAAATCCATGGTTTTCAAACCATGTGGCTGGGAGCACCCAATTCACGGATAATTGGTTTTACCAATGTTTTTGAAGGATGGAGCCCGAAAACATCGGCAAAACAAATGTTATCCATAAAACCCATGGTTTTCAAACCATGTGGCTTAGACCGCGAAATTCATGGATAAAAACAAAGGAAATTGGTAGGTCCATGGGGGGGGGTAGCATATATATATATGTGTGTACATGTGTATAAATAAATACCAAAGAATATATACATTTGTACGTACCTCATAGCATGTGCCCCTCGATTATTCCCATCCCTTCTAAGGGTAATTTCATGGTCCATGAATATGGCCCCTAAACCCTAAACCCTTAAACCCTTACCTTCCATCAAGGGATCTGAAATATGGGCCCTACACCCTAGAATTCTCAAGGGTTCTGACGTATGTAAGCCTTAGCCCCTACAGGGTTTTGGGAGATTAGCGCTCCAGGCTTTTGGCATATTAGTGTTTTAGAGCTTTAGAGCTTTGGGGTCTTTAGGCTTGTTGTAGAAGCCAAGGATTCGGAAATATGGGGTCCTTGGGGTATGCCAGGGCTTCCAGTACAGTGCTTAAAGATCTGAGGCCAACACCTGTAAACCCTCAACCTTTATACCAAGTCCCTGCGCCCTAAGCCCTAAACCCTGAACCCTAAACCCTAAACCCGAAACCCTAACCCCTAACCCCTAACCCTCCTGCCGATTTGTTGCCTCAGGCGGTGTCTGATCTTCAAGCACCCAAGCCAGAGTGGGAGCCTTAGACTCTTGGACCAGGGTTTTACGGTTTTTGGGTTTTTGGGTTTTGGGGTTTTGGGATTTTGGGGTTGTTGGGTTTTAGGGGTTTAGGTTTAGGGTTCAAGACAGCAGGTAGTGACTTAGTGTGGTAGAGCTTGTAGAACCTCACGTGCTCAGGGGGTCTGAGCAGACCCCCAACCCTGTCATAGGGCTTCAGATTTTAAGATGCGACTCCGAAGCCCTACAACTTAGCAGGTTATAGCCCCGCATTTATAGGACATAGTCCCCAAAGTTGTAGGTATAAAGAACCCAGGTATACCCAGGTACTAGTAGGGTTTTTAAGGCTTGTAGTGTGTAACAGGCTTTGGGGCTTAGGCTTTTGATCCTCTAGTGGTCCCGCCGACGCCGCCGACTCACATGAAACACCCCTAAACCCTAAACCTCTTAGCCTCCTTAGCCTCAGTCCGGTCATGCACCCCCCCAAAAAAAACTCAAAACATCACACACACACACACACAAACGCCCAGTTGCGAGCCCTAAGTAACAAGAATTGCTACGGAGCTCCGGCCTCCGACAGACTATCGATCTTCCATACTGGACGCTTGAGCTTCCGGGCTTTCTATGATTCCAGCCCCTAAGCCCCTCTCAACTGTACACCCCTAAAGCCGGAACCTTCTGGCAATCCAAAAGCAAGCCTATGTGGGTTCTTTCTGATGGACCATCAATGTACCTGTAGTTTTTGCCTGTTGCCCCAAATTGTTCTCGTAGGAACCAGAATCAATTAGGTACCGGTAAGTTATGATGGGCAAATTCTGGCTTGAAAGGCAAACCCTAAAAACCTTAAAAAAAAAAAAAAAAAAAAAAAAAACTGCAAATCCTATAAACCCTTTCAACCCTTGGAAGCCCTGTAAACCCTACAATCCCTACAAGCCCTACAAACCCTATCAACACTACGCCCTGTGTTTAGGGTTTTCCTGGGGCTCCATTTACCTACAGTTTAGTAGTAGCTACCCCTTCATGAGTATGTAGAACCCATAAAGCTGTAGGTAAAGAGGTTCCCAGGTAGCCCTAAACCCTAAACCCTAAAAGCCCTTGTAAACCCTATAAGCAGAAATCCTATAAATCCTAGAAACCCCACGTAAGCCCTGTTTAGGGTTGAGGGTTTAAAACCCTATAAACCGTAAGCTCTGTTTAGGGTTTAGGGTTTAGGGATCTGGGCTTGCCGAGCCAGTTGGGGGTTTCCGAAAATAGGGGTAGCCTTTTGGGGGTTTCCTATAACAAGGATTTTACTAGTTGGGGGTATATTAAGGGTACCGAGGGTCCCAGGTACCCTAAACCCTAAACCCTAAACCCCATTTTTGGAAGTACCCCCACTTTCCCTGGGTCCCCTTGCAGAACACGCTGGTGTCTCATGGAGCTGCCGCCAGATCAACTCAAGGTTGGAGGCCAGGTTTAGGGTTTAGGGTTTAGGGTTTAGGGTTTGGGGGTTTGGGGTTTAGGGTTTGGGGTTTAGGGTTAGGGTTTAGGGTTCATAGGATTTATTGTTTAGGGTTTGGGGTTTAGGTTTGGGCTCAGGGGGGTTCAAGTCGCGCTCAAGCTGTCATAAGAAGACTTTCTTGGGGGGCCTCCTCCCCTACGTACACCCCCTGGAACCTTATATTATGAAGTTGTGACTATGAGGTGCAGGATGTTACTGTTCGTACGTATCTTTAAAAAGCACCCCTCCGGACCGCAGCCGGCTAGCTGTCTTTGCAGGCCTCATATCGTTTAGGGTTCAGTGTCTAGGTTTAGGGTTTAGGGTTGAGCACAGCTGTGTCACATGAAGGGACCACAAAAGCACGGAAGGGTTTACGGAAGGACTTCAGGATCAGCTGAGTTGCAAAGTTCAGACGGCAGGATGTAAACACGCGAACCCCAAACCCTGAACCTTACAACCCTAAACCCTAAACCTATCTCTCTATCTTTTCTATACTTCTAGAACTGAACTACTATTTGCTTAAGACCCCCCCCCCCGAAAACAAAAAAAACACACAACATAAATAGAAAGGAATAAATATAAGAATATATGGATACATATATATATATATTTTTACGCGTATATATATATATATATTCTTCCTTATAAGGGCAACATGGGGATTATCATCTTTCATTTTTTGGGCCGGGTTCTTCAGCAAATCGTGGAGAAGGCTTAGGGTTGAGGAGGGCTGGCCCCCGAGATGGCTCCAAAGGGCCAAGGGGGCTGGGGGGGGGGGGGGGTTAGGGTTTAGGGTTTGGGGTTTAGGGTTTGGGGTTTAGGGTTTGGGGTTTTAGGGTTTGGGGTTTGGGGTTTAGGATTTAGGGTTTAGCGTTGCCTGCGAGTCAACTAGAGGCCACAGACTCGGCCGCACTCTGCAGATGCCCACAACTGTTGGGTTAGTGGGTTAGAGGGTTTAGGGTTTAGCCCAGTTTATGGTTTATGGTTTAGGATACCTAAACCCGAAACCCCCCCACCCCCCCACCCCTTGTTGGACGCTCTTTCATGTGTCCTCCCCCTCCCCGAACCATTGAAGCCCATGTTGACCCCCCCTATACCCTCAACCCTAAACCGCCCTAAACCCTAAACCCTAAACTCGAGACCCTTAAACCCTAAACCCTAAACTGCCCAAAACCCTATAAACCCTAAACTCGAGACCCTTAGACCCTAAACCCTAAACTGCCCAAAACCCTATAAACCCTAAACCCTAAACCCGAGACCCTTAAACCCTAAACCCTAAACTGCCCCAAAACCCTATAAAACCCGAAACAGAGGAGGGGCAAAGCTTCCATTTCCGCGAGCTGAGTGGGGCTGCGACGGGCCCCAGGAGACCGGGGTAAGGGCTGCGAGAGCTTCAGTCTAGGCCCCTTAAGAATAATTCTTAATTATTATTGTTTGTATGTTTTTTTGTTTAAATGCCCAAGGAAATGCTAAGAAACATATCATAGCTACTTAGACTTAAAAAGTGTTGATACTTTTTCCAGGGTCTACTCCAAAGTAGGGTGGTTGTTTTTGCGTTTGGGGTTCAGGGTTTCGGATAAGCACGCAATGGCCATAAACAAAAGCAGTCACAGGGATCCGGGACTAGTTATATAGCAGCTGTGTAGAAGAAAAAGTACTACCCTTAATCCGCACATCCGAAAGCTCCCACGCTCTTGTTTTCAATTCTGTTTATGTTGATATTCACATTGAGTGAGCGTGAGCTAGCAAAGAGAGAGCAAAAAAGAACAATAAACAGAAAAAGCAAATATATGTGTATATATATATACATATATATATATGTGTGTACATAATATGTAAATATACAAACAGCAAAGGAGAGAAAGAGAGAGGGAGAGAAAGAGAGTCAACCCTAAACTTAAACCCCCCTAAACCCAGACTCTGTGCATGCTTTGCTGGTTTTAGGGTCCTATGTGTAGTACGGCACCTTCCAAAACGGACGACCCCCCCCCCCCCCCCCCCCCCCCCCCGCCGTCCCCCCCGGCGCAAAAAAGGACCCTAATTGACAGAACCACCCACATAATACTTCTATGAAGAATATTATCGGTATGCTCATGATGTATTGTGTTCAGCCCTACGTTTCGGACCCATATTCGGTAGGCAGTAGAAGACAACATGAGACCTACTTCTTGCGACGATCAGTAGCGCGATGCAATCGGCAGGAGGCAGAGGTTGTGATGTCAGGCTTCGCAGCCTAGGCCCCAAACCCCAAGCCCCAAACCCCAAATTGAATGACATCATCACCAAACTGGCAGCATGATATGCCACACATGCTGCTTAAAGCATCAGCCGTCTCACTTATATTGATCGCATTGACTTCAAGTCCGTGTCAGCCCCAAACCCCAAATCCCAAGTCCCAAACCCTACAGCCATTTGGTTCAAAGCGCCCGGCTTTCCTGCTTGTGCTCATTGACTCGCATCACAATGGTTTGGCGCTGAGTGAGTTCATGTCCCGATGTGAAAGGGACGGCCCACTTGTTTAAGGCTGTTTGGCGAGTCCACAAGTTGCCTTCAAGCCCCTAACTCTAAACCCAAAATCGTAAACCCTAAACCCTACACCCTGAAACCTACATCCTAAATCCTAAACCCTAAGCCCCAAAGCCATACTCTATGAACCTACAGCTGCCTGTTAACTGCTCAAAACCTCTGAGGCGAAGATGATCGCAGTACCTTGGCTTTACCAACCCCGGGCCTTTTGTAGAACTTCATTGTTTAGGGTTTATTGGATGTATAGGGTTTTGGGTGTGTGTGTGTGTGTGCGCGCGCGTGTCTGCTTTCGTTGGTTTAGGGTTTTGGGTTTGTCCTAAACCCTAAACCCTAAACCATAAACTGTAAACGCTAAACCCTAAACCCTAAACCCTACACCCTCCAAAAGCCCTCAGGTTCTTCTGGCTTCGGTCCTGCCCTCCGCCCTGTCGCGGCTGGGTGAAGCGCCCAGGCCGGGTCGGGGCCGGGGCAGTGGTCTGAGGTTTGCCAGTCATCACACACAGGGCTGCTTAGGGTCTAGGGTTTAGGGTTTGGGGTTTAGGGTTTCGGGTTTAGGGTTTAGGGTTTCGGGTACAGGGCTTGGAGGCTATTCAGGGCTTGCAGGGCGTGTATGTCCTATAGCGTAGTATATGGTTTGGGATTTGTTGGGGGGGGGGGGGGGGGGCAACCCTAAACCCTAAACCCTAAACCCGAAACCCTAAACCCGAAACCCTAAGGAACTGTAGGTGCGTGGCTTGCTTTTGATAGCCCTGTTGTGGCATGTTACTTGAGTGCCTAGAACCCTTTGAGGAATGCCACAGGGCCATCTCCAGAAGACCTCCTCCCTGGTGGCGCGGCGCGGCGTGCGGAGTACTGGGAGAATGCGACGCTGCGCTGGAACGTGGACCCCAGCCTGTCGGAGCTGCAGACCATGCGAAGGCATCGGCTTGGGTGTGTGTACACTCCGAGACTGGGTAGGTAACCTTGAACCCTGTGGTTAGATAGATTCCTGCTATATATAAACGGTCTGCCTTCTTTGGGCTAGGGTATTCAGCCCCACGTACATTTCCTTTATCATACTACTGTACTTATAACCCAACTACAACCCCATTAGGGTAGTTAAGGGGCTTATAACTGCATTAAACAAGTGGCCCTGAACCCCCAAGTAAGTTGCATTGAGGGAGGTTCCCCGGCTTGTCGAGGTTGTTGCATGCACTCGGGACAGCCAGTGTTCGGAAAGAAAGGACGAGTCTAGGGTTTAGGATTTAGGGTTTCGGGTTTAGGGTTTAGGGTTTGGGGTCTCCATCCAGGACGAAAGTTGCGTGAGCATCCCGTGTGAGCATGTGGGCCTACACTGGACAACCTAGATCTAGGGCCCCAGAAGGCCAGAAGGACAACTAAGCAACTCTAGCAGCACAACCTCAATCTAAAAGCCGAGAAACCAAGCAGCCCTTTTTGTTTTAGAACCTACAAAATGTAGGTTTTGGTTTGGTAAGGTATCGCTATCGTACTATCATTTCTGTAGTATAGGGGCCTGAATAACTAGAATAAGGTTTTGGGGGCTATTCTAGTATAATAGTAAAGGGATCCTAAGGGAATACTATTTGTACTTATTCCGACCCCTATATTAGCTTCAGGCGTGCAGGCTACGATCACCTGGCAACCACGACGCGCTACGGCGACACCTGCTGTGCCTCCTGCGGCTCCATCGACACCGCGCGGCTGGTAGAGGGCACAGGCAGCCCAGTCAGGATTGGGGTCGAGGGTTTAAGGGTTTAGGGTTTAGGGTTTAGGGTCTAGGACCAAAGCATTGGGGATTCGGGACACCTACAGTCCCCTTAAACAGGGAAACGTGGCATGAATCTTGGTACATTTTTCTTTTAGGCTGCTTAGGCGGGTATATTGTCGAGCTTCCATGTAAGATTCGCCTATACAAAGACCCAACTGTATAGCTTCATATGCGATAATTGCCGGACTGCCCCATCCTTTGCAGTATGGCGCGATTCTTAATAGGGCCCCGTAGTTTGTGCCATTTGGGACTGCTCAATACAAAAAGGGAGCCACCCTCACCCCTAAACCCTAACCCCTAAACCCCAATTGCGGTTCTGATTTCCCTACCCACCTTTGGGGATCCCACTTCAACCCAGCGCTGGCCCTACATCCGAAGATCCCCCGAAGGCTTCTATGCCGTGGCTTCTGCCGAGTCCATGCAGGATTACGGCATCGGACCCTCGGCACGAACAAAGGTAGACAGGCTTGGTTTTTTGGTAGCCCAAGTAGAACTGTACTTCTAGCCCAATTATAACCCTATGAGGGTAGTTAAGGGGCTTCTGAGCGGGTTATCACTACACATATAATTGGGTTACTAAGCCTTGAACCTCCAAGGCTTCGGAAAGCCCAAATGCATCTTAAACACGCTTGGTTCCTTCCGCCAGGCCGGCTGGCTCCATGATTGCCAGCCACAAAACAAAACACAGCCGCCACCGCTTCGCTAAGAACTGTGAACTCCTTGCCGGCAGGAGATGGGCACTACTGCACGTCGGATGCTTCCGGGCATCGTGGAACGCAAGGACATGGCGTGGTGTTTAAGCACTCGTCCAGCACAGTTTTCGTCTCAACCAACGTCCCTACAACATGGACACGGGGCCAAGTCATCATTTTGAATCGGAGTACCCCCTACTACGGAAGTCATATGATATAGGTGCTTGCATTTCGTGACTTGCATGACGACGTTTAGCGCTAGTTTCTGGAGGAATGGGCTGCCTGTCCTGCGCCAAGGGCAGCTGGGTAGTGCACTGGGAGAATTTTAACTGTTCACTTCTTTCCTTTTTCAGGGAACCTATTCCTAAATAATATTTCAATGGGCTTTAAAGGGGTAATTTTAGATGTTCACTTCTTTTCAATGGGCTTTCAAGCACCACTCAGGCAAGTTCTTGCCGGCCCACCCTTTCTCTTACCCTCTCTGGGCCCAGCCAAACGCTGGCATCTTCCGACGGGACCGGGTGGTTGGATCTCGGGTTGTCACGAATATGGCGTCCTAGAACACATGGAAGCTTGTATGCTTTTTCAACACGAGCGGCTCGCTATGTTATGTTAAAACAATAAAACCCTAAACCCTGAACCCTGAACCCTAAACCCTAAACCCTAAACCCTGAACCCTGAACCCTAAGATCCCTTGAACAAGTCACTGCTGTGCAAGGATGCCCCGACTGTTGCTGTTCAGTTTACTGTAAAACTGTAAACCTGTTTGCTGGCATTGTTTTTTCCAAGTTTAGGGTTTAGGATTTAGGGTTTAGGGTTTAGGGTTTAGGGTTGTTGAGGTCAACATGGGCAATTTGACATTAATCAAAACCTTCGCTTTTTGACCAAATTGAATGATATCCTTCGAAAGTGATTTTCATTTGGCAAGACATCTGGCTCTAAATGGTGCTTTACAGTTATTTTGGCAAGATCCTAGAATGATCTTCTTCGAGGTTTTCACTAAGTTGGCAGTAAATTCATGGGATATTTGGCTTTGTCAATGGAATGAATGAATTCTTCCATCCGCCGAAAAAGGCCCCAAACACCCCAAGAAACCGCCCTAGGGGCCCCCCAAACACACCGAACCCATGAAATCTCCGCGACTTCAGAGCCTCCCCAAAGCAAAGCTGAAACCGCTCAAAACCTGCCCCAAACTCTCGCCCAAAACCTGCCCAATTACTGAGGATATGAACCCTGACATAATTTCGAAGATTTCTTGATTCGAGGGAAGGCTCCTTCATGTTGGATGGTTTCTACCGCGCAAGGCTGGACACAGCCTCGTCATAGCAATACTAGTGTCATTAGTGCACAGACACATATAGTACAGATATTCACCAAAGCAATAGTACTACTGCTCATAGTAGCACATCAGTACAAAAGAAATCGCACTGAATGCAGCTGTCTCCCTCCCTACCTCTCTCCCCCTCTCTCTCTCTCCTTCTCACCGTATCTCTTTCTTTGATATACAAATTTGCCTAGTTGTGGGTCAGCCGTTTTGTGCAGGAGCTGAAAATTGTCGTCGCTGACACCTGCCCGCACAGTGGCAACGAGGCCATGAACTCCAAAAAACCCTAAACCCTAAACCCTAAACCCTAAACCCTAAACCCTAAACCCTAAACCCTAAACCCTAAACCCTAAACCCTAAACCCTAAACCCTAACTGGTTTAGTGGCCACAGCAAGAGTTCCTCAAAATTTCGAGACATCTGCCATCCCTAGTTTACCGTCCCTCCTCAGCAAGAAACCCTTCCGCTCTCGACGCGCGGAACATTCTTGGGTTTAGGGTTTAGGGCTTAGGGCTTAGGGTTTAGGGAGAACCCCCAAGAAGGGAACGTCAGGAAAATAGCAGGTAGTAACACTGCAGGCACAGGGGCGCGAAGTTGCACCATATACCTCCTACAAACCTGGAGCCATTTTGGGGGTTCACCCTAAACCTTAACCTATAAACCCCATAAACCCTAAACCCTATAAACCCTATAAACCCTATAAACCCTAAACCCTGTAAACGCTGAACCCTATAAAGTTTAAACCCTAAACCCTAAACCCTAAACCCTAAACCCTAAACCCTAAACCCTAAACCCTAAACCCTAAACCCTAAACCCTAAACCCTAAACCCTAAACCCTAAACCCTAACCCTAAACTCTATAGGATTGCCCTGATAGAGAGGCCTGGTGCCCTGGGCATGAGGGCCATGCGTGGCTCGGCGGCCTTTGTGGTTGTGAGCCCTGGGGTTTAGGGTTTAGGGTCTAGGGTTTAGGGTTTAGGGTTTAGGGTCTTGGGTTTTTGAGTTTGGGGTTCAGGTTTTACGGGTCAAGGTTGATATCTATAATGTTGAGGTTTAAGGGTTGAGCGTTTCGAGTTCATCACTGTTGCACCGGTTTCGCGCCCTTGCCGCGTGTATGGGCCCTTTTTGTGTCCCACATGGCAAAAAAGTGTATGCTCATGCATATACATATATTTTTTGTTGTCCCTGAATAAACCCACAAACTACTATTACCCTCATCGTCGGAACCCGTAGACCGTAACTAACGATTGCTTCCCTTCACTAACTTTCGGAACCCCGGCATCAATATCTACTTGTACATATGTATGTATACATATATATACACTATAGATTTCTACGTTTATGTATGTACATGTCTGTATATGTATGTATATGTATGTATATGTACGCATATATGTGGATGTGTATGTGCATGTACATGTGCATGTGCATGTGCATGTGCATGTGTATGTGTATGTGTCTGTGTATGTGTGTGTGCGCACACACGCACACACACATATCACACACTTATATATATATATATATATATGAATCTAATATAGTGCCTATATATACATATGTATATAAGAGAGATGTCCGTATGTGCATATATATATATACATATACATATAACGGGGGACTTTGGGTGTGCACTTTTTCTGCTTTTTTTCCGCTGTTGAAGGACTACAAAAACTCGAGAAAAGGGCATATTTCAAGACTTTCAAAATCGCACGGAAAACCATTGGTGGAGAGTCCTGATTTTTTTGTTTCTTTGATTTTTGTGTTCTTCTTGCTCATTTTGGCTTTGCGTGTAGTTTTTTTTATTTTTGTGTGTGTGTGTGTGTGTGTTTTGTGTACTGGTTGCTTTGTTGTGCTTTTCCGTACTGCCTTTCCTCCCTGAGCCCCCCGTTCCTACTAAGAAAATTGCGCTTTTCTATGCTTTTCTATGCAAATTGTACTTTTCTAGTCATGGTATATAAGAGTACTGTCTTTAATGGATATATGAATAGGTTAGTTTCATATTCAAGTAGCATGTAAAGAGCATTTGAGCACTGGTTCTGCCCCCGAACCCCGCATCCCCATGCTTAGTGCTGCAGCCTTTACTGGGTGGATTATTTGGTTCTTAGACATTTATGATTTTCAAGGCTTTTCTATGTAAATTGTACTTGTCTAGGCATAGTAGATAAATAGTATTTCACTAGTACGTAATTGAGTTTGCGTTCTGTCCTTCATTTCCTGGTGCTCCAATATACGATTTGAGGATTCGTTGTTCTGACTATACTCGGAAAAGCTGAAACAAGGGTAGGTCGTTGGGAGGGAGGGCTAGCCGGGCTAGCTATGCGGTACCTCCTTTCCCCCCCCCCCCCCCCCCCCGGAATGACCTACCCTCCTTTTTTGGTCTTTTTCTCAGGTCGCCCAGCTGCACGACCAACAAACTTGAACACGCATTACTTAAAACAATACAAAACACACCGATAGAACGTAACAATTTATTTAACCAGTAAGAAAACAATCACTAGGATACTCACTTGATCTAAAAAGCTGTTTCGATTTGATCAAGGCATTTCATGAAGCGTAGTAACACTTCATACATAGCATGTACTCACATAAATAATGAAAAAGTTGCTTAATGATTAAGATGAGAGAGATCACCACTTGATAAGCAAACTATAGTTGTCAAGTACGAGAGAGCCAAAAAACAGAAAAGAAACAAGTCCCTCGGACTCCATATCTATATATATATATATATGTATATGTATATGTATATATATATATGTATATCTATGTGTATGTGTATGTGTATGTGCCTGTGTTTGTGTATGTCCTGTGCGTGTGCACACGCGTGCTCTGATCTGCCGGAATGAGGAACAAGTTCGGCGTGAAGCACCACTTCGACTTTGCGAACCCGTGGCTTTCACGGGCATTGGAGGGGATTTAGGGTTTAGGGTTTGGGGTTTAGGGTTTAGGGCTTAGGGCTTAGGGTTTAGGGTTTAGGGTTTAGGGTTTAGGGTTTAGGGTTTAGGGTTTAGGGTTTAGGGTTTAGGGCAAACTTGTTATAAAAGCAGCCGACAGAATGATGACACGTTTGCTACCCCTAAACACTGACTTCCCTAAGCCCAAAATCCTAAACCCCCCTAAGGCCTTAACCCCTAAACCCTAAACCCTAAACCCTAAACCCTAAACCCTAAACCCTAGACCCTAGACCCTAAACCCTAAACGCCGAGTCTTGGGTTTCAAGGGTTGGGGCTGCACACTTTCAAAGACCCAAAGCTGGGAGGTTCCTAGGGAGGAAGGGTTTAGGTGCAGGGTTTAGGGTTTATAGGATTTAGGGTTTAGGGTTTGGGGTTTAGGGTTTAGGGTTTAGGGTTAGGGTTTAGGGTTTAGGGGCAGACCCTGCAACTCTGCCCTCAGCCTTGCAAAGTAACAGGGTTCAGGGCGTCAAAAGGGCCCTTGCCCCTTGGCTTGAAGCGCTGGATTGGTTTCTCCTGTTCGCCGAAAGCCCTGCAGACCAAAGAACTCTGGAACCCTAAACTGCGCCCCTAAACCCTGAACCCTAAACCCGAAACCCTAAGCCTTGAACCCTAAACCCTGAACCCCAAACCCTAAACCCTAAACCCGAAACCCTGAACCAGTCTTAGGCCGGCCAAGTATGACAACTACTACTTCGTGTGGTCGAAGATTGAGTGCCCCCGCCGCCTGAAGCGGCGATACGCGGAGATGAGCAGGTGCTAGGTGAGCTCAAGACCATGGAGTTGGGTTTTGGGTGGTTTTGAGGTTCTAGGGTTTAGGGTTTAGGGTTTAGGGCTACCATAGGGCGGGCTGATCCAAGTTATGGTCCTTCTGGTTTAGGATTTGCGGGCTTTGGCGGACTCTGTGTCCCTGAATAGTTCAGGAAACCGAAGGAGGCCTCCTGGAATTTTGGTCAACCCTCATACAATTGGCATACGCTTTGCACGATTTATGAGCGGCTTCCCTTGCTGCCAATGCTGCCTGCTGAGCCCTACAGTAAACCCTAAACCCTAAACCCTAAACCCTAAACCCTAAACCCCAGAGCGCAGTTGCGAGGCAGGCAGCAGGGCAACGGACGTGGAAGGCTGCTAGCGCCTCCGAAATTCCGGTGCGCAGCACTCGCAAATATCTCGTCTGCTCTGCACCAGAAGTGGTCGAGTAGCCAAGCAGAGTGCACAATACCATTTTGGATACTCATTTGCCCCCCTCGCATTTGAGAAGCTTGCGTCTCAGACGTCGCCTCAATTCGGGACCCTGAACTTACCATCCAGGGTAGCGGTTTAGGGGCTTGCTGGCTGGTTCCTAGTAGGGAATGAGGGAATGAGGTACCCTATATGCTCCCTTAAAGGGTGTATATATATGTATATATATATGTATATTTTTATTTATTTCGGGGGCCCGAATCCCTCATTCCCTACGAAGCGCCAGGGGGGTTACGATGTAGTGTGTCATCATGCGTTAAGTTCGAAAAAGGGCAATAAGAGCCCGCAAGAAGGTAAGCTGTTCTACTACTTACAGCCCTAGTCCCCAGTCACAACTGCAAGTACTCCAAAAAGACATGCCTGGGAACGAAGCGAAGAACCGTTTTGAGCCCATTAAGCTGAAGACAAGAGGTGTTAGGGTTAGGGTTTAGGGTTAAGGGTTTACGGCGGAGCCTTAGGGTTATGCACACGACGTTGCTAGTCTACATACTATACCTGGGCTTCCCTGTTCAGGGTTCCCACGCAACTTGAATTTTTCTTTCTAGTTCGCGGAGCATTCGCCAAACAAAGTGGCGATTGCTGAGATGAGCATGCAAAACTTGCATTGCACCGCCCAAGCCGGGGATGAGAGCAGAACATGATTGTGCCCTGTGCTCCTTAAACCCTAAACCCTAAACCGTAAACCCTAAACCCTTAACCGAGGAATAGAACAAGTTTCATGGTAAGGACTCCAATATGCGGGTTCTTGCGATAGTTGGGGTACCTTCTCGGGGTCCTTGTTCGAAGGGGAGCAAACCCCCCATATAGCTGAAGGAAGATTCCTTAGTTACATGGTCGTGAGCTCGCTGGGTCCTGGGGGTTGAGGGGAGGGGAACGCCCAACAAATGCAGGTTAGACAGTACAAAGTGGTGATGCCGGGATGGCCTTCCAGATACCCGAAGGTTTAGGGTTGAGGGTTGAGGGTTTAGGGTTAAGGGTTTAGGGTTCAGGGTTTAGGGTAAGCCCTCCTGCTTGACATATGGATGCTTGTGCTGTCCTTCGGCGAGATTCATCCTCCGTGCTTATCTTGCTTACTGGCGGCGCCTGGCCGTGTCTTTCTGACTTAAGAGCATCTAGGGCCCGGGAGTGGGCCCTCATTCCCTGTTTCTAAGGGTTTAGGTTAGGGTTTAGGGTTTAGGGTTTAGGGTTTAGGGTTTAGGGTTTAGGGTTTAGGGTTTAGGGTTTAGGGTTTAGGGTTTAGGGTTTAGGGTTTAGGGTTTAGGGTTTAGGGTTTAGGGTTAGGTCCCCTTCTAAAGCAACATAAGGGTGCCCTTTTTCATTTAGGTCCAAGGCTACTCTTGGGTCTGGAGATCTGCCTTCTCAGGTCACATATGGGGGGTTTGCGACATTAGGCGTACCTTACTAGGGCCCTTATTGCAAAGGAATCCTACTATGTGGGGGTCTATATAAGGGGTCCGTGATTTTCGTAAACCCGCACATATCCGAAACTGAACAAGCCCAGGCCTGAATTGATACGGCTTTACTGTTCCAGGTCCCGATGTCGTATCCCCAAACCGCCCAAATCCTGAACCCTAAAAGAAACAAAACCCTAAACTCTATAAATCAACATCAGCATCCCAATCTGCAAAGGTTCCGGGCGATGGTTTTGCAGCCTTGTGCACTGCGGATTCGACGTCGAGCGCCCAGAAATAGAGTTTAGGGGTTTAGTGTGGGGGGGATAGATGGGAGTCGCTGATGATGCTCGGGTGTTTGTGCTTGCTCACAGCCTCATTACAGAAACAGGCTTTTGTGTCCAAGTGGTTCTTGCTTTTCCCTCCTACTGTCACGTTAAGCTTGCCTAAACCCCCCTCAACCCTAAACCCTCAACCCTGAACCCTAAATCCTAAACCCTAAACCCTAAGCCCTATAAGTCCTATATGCCCTAAAGCCCTATATAAAGCCCTAAAGCCCTAAACTTCCTCTCGACCCTGATCCCTCAGGTCTGCGGTGCCTGAGACATGTCTATGACTTTAGCTTGGGATGTTCCCCCTTCTAGTACCCCGCACTTCGGGTTTAGGGTTTATGGTTTAGGGAACAGTCCTTAATAGGGACTATAGTAAGCCCCCACCCCCCCCCGCCCTATAAAATCCCTATGGAAGGACTGTCAGTATAAGAGGGACCGTCCCAGACTTTAGGTTTCGCGTGGAGTTCCTGGAGAACTCGAACACGCTGCTGCTTGGACAGGCTGCACGCAGTAATCCTTTGGTTTAGGGGGTTTAGGCTTTCGGGTTTAGGGTTTAGGGCTACTCCGATCCAGAATGGGCCCCTCATGCCCACATTTTTTTGGGGGTAGGTTCGCAAAAAAGACCCTTGAAGCCAATAAGGTCCCAGGTTACGCATCGTGGGTCTAGGGGAAGTAGCCAGACATATACGACATACAAGAATGCCTTAACTCGCGGGCATAGATCCAAACTAGATAATTGGCACACTTGTACGTACTTGTGCATACTTGCTTGGAGCACCGTGTTGAAACAGACATCTCAATCTCTCCCTTGAATCGCGATCGCGATGTGTAGAGAGCCTTCAGTCGTTTACGTAGACTCCAAAAGCCTAGCACACGTGGTCCTCGGCCGCCAAGTTGCCAGCTTTCTACCCTAAGGGGTCTACCCTGAACTGCAGCGAAGCCAGCCCCAAAACCCCTAACACTAAAGCGTTTAGGGTTTAGGGTGTGTGGAAACTCTGATCCCTACCCTTCTCCCCTCATCAGCTCAACGGACCACTCTCGTGTCAACCCCCCCCCCCCCACCCCCCCCACCCCCCCCAAACATGAAGTGCTTGCAATCTTTTGGGCTTCATGAGGGTGGATTAAAGTTACGTAAGGGTTCTTGGAGTTTGGGGTTTCGGGTATGTTGGGGTGTTAGTGTGCCGACTGCTTGTGCGGAGCTTCGAGAGGTCACACCTTGAAGCATCACTTTGCTACGTGTTGAGTCCAGGTATCCGATATGTGGGCTTCCCGAAACCATCTCCACGCATTACTAAACTACTAAGGGTTTAGGGTTTAAGGTTTAGGCTTTAGGGTTTACGGTTGAGGGTTTAGAGTAGTGTGGTTCAGGGCTTACATGGTATTTGTAGGATTTCGTTTGAGCCCAATACCCTAACCCCCAAACCCCAACCTGAGCCTTGCAGATCAGCTCTGTGGACAAGGAGAACGCAGGCCGCAGGGTCAACTGGTCTGTCGTCAAGTTTCGTGAGAAAGCAGAGGCTTAGAGTTTAGGGTTTAGGGTTTAGGGTTAGGGTTTAGGGTTTGGGGTTTAGGGTCTAGGGTTTGGGGTTTAGGGTTTAGGGTTTAGTGCAGGTTGTTGCACGCTGGCTTGCGGCTCAGGGTAGAGGACCCATACATGCTGTCCACAATAAATCGTTGAGGACCAAATGAACCCATACTGGGCTTAGGCACGGGGTAGGTAACCTTCAACCTTTTTTGGTTAATTAAAGGTTAACCCATTTTTCAGCCTCTGAGTGGGTTCATGTACCCTATACTACTATTTTTCGGGTTTAGGTGTATGAACCATAAAACCTTCTCGGGTTCATCCAGTCCCCAAGGTTAGAAGGCAAAGACGCGCGCTGGAAGCATCCATGCCCGAACAGAGCGCGTGCGAGCTTACTTCACTGCTATGTTAGTGAACACACCAAGATGCATCAGACAGCTTCAGGTAGAGTAAGGCTGGACCTGCTCGAGCATGCTCTTGGAGCTTCATGGAGCCAAAGCACTGCCCGTGACGCCCCGATTGCAATCAACCCGCCGGGGCTCCTTTGACCTAGCCCTCGTTGCTTAGGGGATATTGGGAATTCTGTTTTAAATTTTTGGGCACCTTAATTCCTAGGAAACAGCCAAAATTATTTTTTCCCTATAGGGTTTCAAGTTCAGTATATTCAGTATAGGTTGGTATCTCTTGCGTCTCTTGCGTGGCTTACGGACAACTCCGTGTGGCGACTGCGACTGCACGGGTCGCAACCAGACGTCTGCAGCGCCGCGCGATGAAACGACCGATCAAAAGGGTGGCTGTTGTTGGCGGAACCTTACTTCTCCAACAGCTGAACTTTAAACTTTTTAAGGGTTTCCGTATTTAGTAGGAATGGTTGGGGGAACCTTACTTCTCTATAACAGCTGAACTTCATGAACTTTTTAAGGGTTTCCTTACTTAGTAGGAATAGTAAAGTTCAACCCTTTTTTTCCTTGGCTTTTGGAGAAGCAAGGAACTCATGGCAACGAGCTCTCCGGCGTGACCCTAGTTCGTTCCTGGATGCGGCAGCCACCTTTCTGCGAGTTCAAATCTCTTGAAGTGGACGCCTTCCTTGCCAATGAAGAAGCCGTTGAGCCTTGCGCTAGCCCAGTGGTACCCTGAAAACCCCTTGCTTTAGTTCAAGGCTCCCTTTGTAAAGTAACCAGCCAAAAACGGATGCCCTTGCTACCCTAAACCCTAAACCCTAAACCCTAAACCCTAAACCCTAAACCCTAAACCCTAAACCCTAAACCCTAAACCC